TGTGGGTGTTCTTGTGCATATGCCCTCTCTTCTTATCAGCTGGATGCTTCACTCTCCACTCTAGTCTTCTGTGGCTATGTCACTGACTCTGGGTCGAGAGTCCCCAGGTCTTGCCACACTGCTGGCCAACCAGGTCTCCACCAGGGTTCACAGGAGTTTATTGAACGGTGTAGGGCTTAGCTCGCAGCTTGATGTCTCCTGGGCGAGCAACTTGCTTGTTCTTGTAGTAATCAGTTGGTCTGCCTATATTATTTTGTATTGTTCCTGTCGGTCTTTCTTTCAAGAAGTATTTTCTGTTCTTCTAGCCGCTTCAGGCTGGTCTGCGAGTCCTTTCAAGTAGAAATTTCCCATGAGGTAAAGTTTTGAGAGTGACAACCACAGTCTAAGTTTAGAGGGCTGAGAGCTTGTGGGTCTACCCTGAAGAGTTATATGTTCCCCTTTATATCCTATGACAGGCCATGGTGGCTTTGTCAATGGTTTTGGGGTTCCTGCTGGCCCTGAGCAGAGGTGAGGCCACAGAACAGAGGAATCCTGACCTGCATAAGACGGGGTCCTGCCAGCCAGCCCCCTCCTGCAAGGAGTGCATCCTCTCACATCCCACCTGTGCGTGGTGCAAGCAACTGGTAAGATGTGTCCGTTTATGTCTATGTTTGTAGCCTGGATGTATGTGGAAGCAAGGCTCCCATGCATGATGGTGTGAGCATGTGTGTCATTTTCTGGGTGCACTCCACAGCCCTGTATGGGATTGAGCTTGTGCACATAGGACTTCTGTGTGTGTGTGTTGGGGGCATGCAAGGCTCCTGAGCATGTAAGCTTATTTCTGGGACTGTGTATTTGTGGACACTTGGAAAGGGTGTAGGGCCCTGAAGGTGGAGGAAGTAAGTACTTGTGGGAATTCATGTTTGTGTATAGTAATTGGCGGAACCTGTTGTGCATGTACATGTGGTTGGATTTTAAAATCTGTGCTTGGGGAATTATGTCCTTGGGTGGGGGTGGAGGTGGAGGTGGGGGAAGCCTGTGGGCTTGAGGGGAAAGTTTTGAGTCCCCCCCCTTCCCCCTCCAACGATCCCAAATGGGGAGTGAGTAGCTGAGAAGGGTATTGCAGAGGAAGTATCTCTTTCCCTGGCTACCTGGCTGACTAAGTGGCAAGACATAATGGCTGTCCAAGCTGGAGCTGGGGGACAGAACAGTCCCTATCACAGGAACATGGGTAGTTAGGTTAGTGCAGGCACCAAGATAAGAGATGGCACACACTCAAGGAGGCACAGTTACAGAGCTGAGAGGGCCCAGGAAAAAGGCACACAGAAGGATGGAAGGATGGAGGCTGAGAGGTGGAGGTACCAGGCTGGGGGAGGGGAGTCATGCCTTTTGGAGCAATCTGCCTCCTCCAATCCCCAAACCAGAGGTTGGCACCCAGGCTGAGAAGATGATCTAACCATTTCCGCTCTAACCATTTCCTTCCCCTGTGGCTTCCCAGTCTGTCCCAGGGGTGCCAGACACATGGTGTGTGTGTGTGTGTGTGTGTGTGAAGGGGTCTCCCTTTTTGTCCCCTCTTCCTCTTCCCAGGCAACTGAAGTATCTTAATCCAACCCCTTTCACCCTGAAAATGTAGACGAGATTGGACTACAGGCTAAACTTTTCCTTTTTTGAGTGGTAGTGAGGTCTCTGATATCTCAACCGGAAGTCTGTGGCCCTAGGGGGAGGGCAAAGGTGGGTGGCTGGTAAAAGGGGAGTCAAGATAAGGCTAGGAGAGTGGTAGTTCTATAGAAATGGAGTTCTTACAGGGGGAAAGAACAGGGGATCAAGGATATCTAAGGGCTCAGGGAGTTGACTGAGAAAGGAAGGATCAGAAGTGGCCCCGGAACTCAGGGGTGGTTTGTGTGTATGTGTGGTGTGTGTATATGGGGAGCAGTCCTGATGTGTCTCCACTACTTAGAACTTCACCGCCTCTGGGGAGGCGGAGGCAAGGCGCTGCGCTGGGCGAAAAGAGCTGCTGGACCGGGGCTGTCCTTTAGAAGAGTTGGAGGAGCCCCGCAGTCGGCAGGAGGTGCTGGAGGACCACCCGTTCAGCCAGGGCATTCATGGGGAAGGGACCATCCAGCTGGCGCCACAGCGGGTCCGGGTCACACTACGACCGGGTGAGTTAGGGCTGCAGGTATGGCAGAGGTGTAAACTGGGTTCTAAAAGCTCCTCGCTCTGGACGTACTCATGGACTCCTCCCTTCCTTACCTACCTTCAGGAGAACCACAGCGACTCCAGGTTCGCTTCCGCCGGGCAGAGGGATACCCTGTGGATCTGTACTATCTCATGGACCTGAGCTACTCCATGAAGGACGACTTGGAGATTGTGCGCCAGCTGGGGCACGACCTGCTGCTCAGGCTGCAGAAGGTCACCCATTCCGTGCGCATTGGTGAGCTAGGAGCTGTCCCCACCCTGCCAGCCCTTATCATTGAACTAACTTAAACTGAAGCCTTCCCCTCTGACAACTAGACACACAAGGGCCCCAACCTGCCCTCACGCAGCGTCTCTCAGGCTTGGCTAGGCCACAGGTTCTGGCATCTCTCCCCAAGACATCCATCCCATCGCTGAGGTCAGAGGTGAAGGAGATTTACTCTGAGACTGTATGACCCCTAATTTTATCTGTCATAACTGAGATTCAAAGTCTGGAGAGGCTGCGTTCAGACAGTTACCCAGGTCAGACAGTTACTGTTGGCCTACCAACTTGAATGTACCCTGATGCCACTTTCTCAGCGGTGTCTCTGGTACAAGGCCTTAGATGCCATCGCCCCAGACTCCACATTCTGCCTTCACCTCTCCTCTATTCAAAATCTCCTTTTGCTTTGTGCTGCTCCTACATCCTACACTCTCACCTTTTCCTCCCTTATCCTTCAGGAAGTTCCCCTGCCCTGTCCTACACCCTGGGTGGTGGTCTTACCTCTTTGCTCTGCCGTCCTGGAGCCCCTTTTCCATCATCTCCTTTATGACCACTCCCTCACCTTCCCATTGGCTCTTCTCTTCTTCTGAGTCTTCAGTAGTGACCCCTTCCACCTGGCTGCTGCCCAGTGACTTCTGGCAGTTTTCATGTCCCCACCCCTACCCAGGCTTTGGCTCCTTCGTGGATAAAACAGTACTGCCCTTCGTGAGCACAGTGCCTTCCAAGTTGCGCCATCCCTGTCCCACCAGACTTGAGCCCTGCCAACCGCCCTTCAGCTTTCACCATGTGCTGTCCCTGACGAATGAGGCAAAGGTCTTCGAGCGGGAGGTGGGGCTCCAGAATGTGTCCGGCAACCTGGACCTGCCTGAGGGTGGCTTTGACGCCATTTTGCAGGCTGCAGTCTGCCAGGTGAGGAGGTGGAATGGGATCTGAGCCTGGAGAACCATTTGAGTCCAGGACTACCACCTATGTTGTGTAATTCATAAATGAGGAGGTGTCATTCATATCTTAGTCATCATAGGTTTACATATTTACGTTCATGATTTCTTGATAGATTAGAATAAAGTATCTTCAGGACAAAGCATGTTTTTCCAATTCACTGGAAGGCTGGGGAGAGCATGGAGAAGCAGGGAGCTGGAGACAGGCATGACTCAGAACAAGGCTGGCCAAATAAATCTTTGGCACTTAGAGATGACAGGGATGGCTTGAAGGTTGTGCCCAAGTACACAGACTACCCTCCATCCCACCCCAGGAGCAGATTGGCTGGAAAAACGTGTCCCGGCTGCTGGTGTTCACCTCAGATGACACATTCCACACAGCTGGGGATGGGAAATTGGGTGGCATTTTCAGACCCAACGATGGACGCTGCCACTTGGATAGCAATGGTCTTTATAGTCGTAGCCCAGAGTTTGTGAGTTCCGTTTTCACCCCACTCCTCATCCCATCCACACCTCCTCTCCTCCCAGAACCCCCCTCCTCCCTGGTGACCACCTTGCTGTGTTTCCAAGGAGTTCCTCCTCTCCATGTCTCCCCATCTGCTCACACTGGAAGCCTGTGTCATCCCTCCCCCACCCCAACTCCCTGTTCCTGCCCAAATCTCCAGAGCTCTTCTTACTAATAGAACCTTGGTTCATGGATGCCCTGGGCTGAGAACACCTTGTTTGTTTGTGAGACTTCTGGTGCTCATACTGTCCCCAATTCTCTCTTTCCAGGACTACCCCTCTGTGGGTCAGGTAGCTCAAGCCCTCTCTGCAGCAAATATCCAGCCCATCTTTGCTGTCACCAGTGCCACCCTGCCTGTCTACCAGGTTAGAGCTGTCTGAGTGCCTGAACCCCCAACCTTCCTCAGTTTCTTCAAAGACCCATTCTTTCCCCATATGCCCTCCTCCCAGACCCGAGGCCTATCTCTGTAGAGCTGTGACCCATCCTTTTCCCTCTATTCCTCTTAATCCAGGAGCTGAGTAAATTGATTCCTAAATCCACAGTCGGGGAGCTGAGTGAGAACTCCAGCAATGTGCTGCAGCTCATCGTGGACGCTTATAATGTGAGGGTCCGAGGTGTGAGGAGAGTGGTGAGGGTGGGCACTGGGGCTCCAGATGGGACAGGTATATGCCAGAACTAAGAGGGGAATGATCATTTTTTATTTAACCCTCCACAGCTCCCACCTACTATTTGCATGTGACTGTCATTAATAGCTCACTCATTCAGTCTTACATTTATAAGCCTTAAATGTCTATTATGTACAAAGCATGGAGCCATACTCTGGATAAGGAAGGAAATGTTCATTGAACCTTTATTTCATGCCAAGCACTGTCCTAAGTGCATGTCCTGTGTTATCTCATTTAATTCAACCTAAACTTCTGCTTGGTAACTATAGTCATCCCCGTTTTAGAGACAGAAAAATAGACCCAAGGAGGCTAAGTAATTTGCCCCATTTCAAGGCCACACAGTTCACAAATGAAAGGGGTGGCATTTGCTTTCAGGATCAGTCCATACACAGACTGTGGGACCTGGAGCCTACTTTCAATAAGCCATAGACTTTTACAGATGAAAGGAAACATGAAAGTTCAGGTTTCTTGAAGACTAAGTTTCTTGATAACAGAGACCAGACCAGTTGTGGCTGAATTGATTCCAACTCACAGAGCGTCCATGTGTGTCAGAGTAGAACTGTGTGCCATAGGATTTTTATGGCTGTGATCTTTCAGAAGTAGGTTGGTGATGGTGGTTATGTGCCATGGAGTCAGTTCCAAGTCTTAGTGACCCTGTACAGGGTTTCCAAGGCTGTAAATCTTTATGGGAGCAGAAAGCCTCATCTTTCTCCTGTGGAACAGCTGGTAGTTTCGAACTGACCTGTGGTTCGCAGCCCAATTTGTAACCACTATGCTAACTACCAGAGCTCCTTATTTCCAGGGCACCTCTAGGTAGACTGAAACCTCCAACCTTGTTTTTGGTTAGTAGCAGAATGCTTTTTGTGCCACCCAGGAACTTGATGGCAGGGACGATGTCCTAAATCCATGGCAAAAAAATTTGAGAAGTATCAAATTTCCAAGGACCAACCTTGTCTATACACCAGTTTTATGTCCTGACTTGGAGCTTGACTATCGTGATTAGTATACATTAGTGTCTAGTCACCCTTGACCTTTATTAGGCTCTTGCTTGCAGCTACACTGAAGTACTGGGTTCAGGCTTTCCAGGATCCCCATGTACTCTGCTCAGTCTGCACAGCTACTTCCTCTGGAAACGACTCCTCCCTGGGCAGAGTGGAAGAAACTCCTAAGCAGTTGAAGGGCAAGGTTCTGGCAGAATTTGGAGTTGCCAGAAAGAACATAAGGATTCCTGGGTGGAGCAATTGGTTCAACGTTCAATTAATTTGTGACAGCTTGAACCCACTCAGAGTTGGTTCAGAAGAAAAGCCCGTTTCTGAAAGGGCTACAGCCATGAAAACCCTGCTAAGCACAGTTTTACTCTTCTGCACATGGGCTCGCCTTGTCAGAATCAACCACTTTTTAAAATTTTTTGGAGGTTTACTTTGTGTTTACTCATTCCTTGTCTTTCCACAGAACCTGTCATCCACTGTGACCCTTAAACACGTTTCACCTCTTCCTGGGGTCCACATCTCTTACGAATCCCATTGTTCTGGGAAGGAGGGTGACGCTGGGAACCAGGGCCAGTGCAATGATGTCCAAATCAACCAGATGGTGAGAGTTGTGGGTGATTTTGTAGACTGAGTAGGAGTGGGGAACTGAAGCAGGCGGGAAAAGATGGGGTTAGTCCTCCATGGGAGGCAGCTCTTTGGAGCATGTCTCTGGCAGACAGGTGTTAACAGGATCCTAACCCTTAGTAAAGGTTCTGGATGATCAGTGGAGCTGGTGTGTGTGTGTGTATGTAATTTTAGTCTGACTCATGTCCACACTGTCCTCAGGTGAATTTCTCGATTACTCTCCGAACCACCAGCTGCTTTGAAGAGCCCCAATTTCTGAAGTTTCGGGCTCTTGGCTTCTCAGAGGAGCTGACTGTGGAGCTGTCTACACTGTGTGATTGTAATTGTAGTGACAACCAGCCTCAGGCTCCCTACTGCAGTGATGGCCAGGGGCAACTGCAGTGTGGGGTGTGCAGGTGACTCCCAGCAAACGAACCACATTCTCCCAGATGTGCCCATACTCTCCTCTAGAGCAGAATTCCCCTAACTCTTTGCTCTTTTACCCCTTGGTGCTCCCATTCTCCAGCATCCCTTCAGTCAAGTGTTGATTTCCTTTCTTGTGGGAACTTGGCTTTAGAGGCGGCAGTCTGTGCCCACGAAGGTCTGCAGACTCAGAAATCCCATGGAGCAGTTCTACTCCATCCTCTAGGGCCACTGTCAGTCAGAATAGACTTAATGGCAGTGTGTTTGGCAGCGGGGAGGGAAGACAGATTAAGAGATGGTTGAATTCCGTGACTTAACTTTCTCCCACCATTTTTATTCTCCCCCCCAGTTGTGTCCCTGGGCGTCTTGGTCGGCTCTGTGAGTGTTCTGAGGCTGAGATGTCCACCTCAAATCTGGAAGCTGGGTGCCAGGCCCCTAATGGGACAGGCCCTCTGTGCAGTGGGAGGGGACGGTGCCAGTGTGGACGCTGTAGCTGCAGTGGACATAATTCTGGACACCTATGCGAGTGTGATGATGCCAGCTGTGAGCGGCACAAGGGCCGTCTCTGTGGAGGTACTTAGAAACTTTGTGAGGAGGAACGGGTCAGAGACTGCTTCTCCAAGAGTCTTTCCCAGGGATATTTTGGCTCAAAGAGCTTTATAGTACTCTGAGCAAGTTCAAAGTTTCTGGATATATTTAGCACAGAGGAATTGGGTGCACAGGCCTACATGAGGACTAGGTCAATTTGAGAGAGTTATAGTGGCATGTGATGCTTAATTGTGTGTGGGGAATATGGTGGTCACTCTGTTCATGGTTCTGCCCAGACTCTGGCCGCTGCCAATGTGGAGTGTGTATATGCAATGCCAATTACACGGGCAAAGCCTGTGAGTGCAGCACAGCTGTGGACAACTGCATCAGTCCTAAAGGAGGTATCTGCAGTGGGAATGGACAATGCATATGTAACCACTGCCAGTGCAACAGCAGCTACTATGGTGCTCTATGTGACCAGTGCTCAAGCTGCAACACATCCTGTGAGACGCATAGGTGAGGTCGCAGGTCTTGCATCTTTGGGAATGTTAAGCACTCCTGCTTTTCTTTATGCATGTGGAGGCAAGGACCAATGGGGACAGCAGCCCAGCTGATAACTTCTTGGTGTCTGTTGGGCAGGGGCTGTGCAGAGTGCTGGGCCTTTATGACTGACACCCTGGCCAAAAACTGCAGCCTGGCTTGTAAACATGTCAATGTGACTCTGGCTTTGGCTCCTATCCTGGACGATGGCTGGTGCAAAGAGAGAACCCAGGACAACCAATTATTCTTCTTCATGGTGGAGAAGGCCGATGGCAGGGTTATGCTGAGAGTGAGACTCCAAGAAAGTAAGTGAGGGGTGGAGATGCTGTGGGCATGCCAAATGGAGCCCTGCATGTTTGCTAGGCAGAGACTGCGAACTCTGAAGGAGAGAGAATGGAAACCAAGTTAGGAGTTGAAGCAATACTGAGTCACAAAGCAAACGGCCTGGGCCCTGAGTCTAACTTTGGATTCTGTTAAGTTCCCTTTACTTTTTAATGCCAGGCTGAGCTGGGGAGGCTAGATGAGGCCAGGTACAGCATGCCCTATGCCCCAGCACTCAAACTTTTGTGTCCCGTTTCTCGCTAATAGAGGAAAAAGACCATACCCAGGCCATTGTGCTAGGATGTGTAGGGGGCATCGTGGCAGTGGGACTAGGGCTGGTCCTGGCTTACCGGATCTCAGTAGAAATTTATGACCGCCGGGAATACAGTCGCTTTGAGAAGGAACAGCAACAACTTAATTGGAAGGAGGTGAGGAGACTCTACCTCCTATCCCTCTGGGCTGGATTCACTTGCTTTCCTTGGTTGGATCTCTTTCTTGCTTTCTGCTGCCATACCCCATTCCCAGGCCTTACTCCCCGCTATCTAGGCCATGTTCACCTGGGTCTGTCCTTCCTCTGCACGTTTACCTTTACTTCTCTGATTCACCCGTTAGCTTTGTCAGTAGTAACTAGGGTCCTGCTCAAGTTCTAGACTGGCCTTTTAGGACTAAATGGGATGAGGAATCCTGGGACTTTTCCTTATAATGTCCAACCTCTTTTCCTAGGACAACAATCCTCTCTACAAAAGCGCCATCACAACTACCATCAACCCCCACTTTCAAGAAAAAGAAAGTCCTCCTTCCTGAATGGGAGAGGGACATTCCCTGGAGCTCTTCTTTGGGAGGACAATGGCAATTGTGTGTGATGGTGGGTCTGCCAGGCAGCAGCCTTGGGGGGTTATCCATTGCCAAAGGGCAGTTTTACCTTATTTTCAGTGATACTCCAGGACTGCCTTTTGCTGCTGAGCCCTGCTTTCCTACCTCACAAGGAGTAGAGGTTCCCCTGACCCAACTGTACAATAAAGATTCTTATCTCAGACCTCAGCTGTCATCTTGCTTTACCCTACCTCTCAGCCACTTCCTGAAAACCCTATACCAGGTCACTATAGGCAGAACTGACTCGAGAGCACTTAACCACCACCACCAAAGCCAAAACAGGCTGGTTAGCCTGGGCCTCAGGAAGGCCCCATTTATTTCTTCTTTAGCCACCAGGGCATGGTAGTGATGTGCAGTGGAGTCGGTTCAGCCACCAGAGCATGGAGGCGCTCAATTCACTTCCCAGGTAACTCTGATGCAGGATGACCACAAGCCACACATGGAGAAACACTGCATTTGCTCGCCTCTTGCTTCATTTGGTCTGGCTGTACACGTTTTTTCTCTTGTTCAGCATGGATGTTCTTTACTTCTAGTTTTTGCTCCTCTGTGGAGTAGGAAACAGCTTTAAAACTGGTCTATAGGGTGCTCAAAGTTGTGTGGTGGCCATACTTGCAGAGATGAAATTCGAAAACCACTCTGGTCCCGGTGAAAAAGCTTCCCCAAAGACTATTTTTTCAAAAAAAAAAGAAGATAATATGTAGAAAATCCCCATTTTCTTTTTATTTAAATATCCTAAATATATCACGAAGGAACATACACTGCACTTTAATGGTAAAAAGATACAAGTTTATAACATCTTATAAAAACTACCTTTAAAAGTGTTCTTGTTCATTTGATATTCCCATCCCCCAATAGCAAAATAAGTATATTAAAAAAAAAAAAAAAAGAGAGAGAGAAAGGTAGAGGGAATTGCTGAAGATAGAAGCCCCCGGGCCACAGCAGAGGCGAAGAGCATTTGGGTGTGAGGGTTAAAAGTTGTGGTGAGACTCCATTTCTCATTTAACCCTCTCATTTCAAGCCATGGGGTCCGATCAGTAGCAAAGTGGTAAGAAGCTGTTGGAGGGTGGACAGAAAAGACTTGGGGTACTGGGAAGGGCAGGGCTGGCAGGGCCTAGGGCAACAGCCCACCTGGAAACTGGGAATACTGTTTTCCAGGTCCCCAAATTCCACAACCTGGTCTCCTGAGAGCCTGCCCTATGTTCCCTCCCCCTCACTCCAAACACACCTGAGGCATCTTTCCAGTGCTGGGCCCCACCCCTGCAGGAGGGGTGGGGCATTAGACCTAGGAGCCTTTGCAGAGGTCTTTAAGTCTGTGGTTTCCCTGGGGTAATGGTAGGGCTCCTGGGCCCTGTGGGCCTTAAATCACTCCTTTTACCCATTTGTCTGTTCACCTGACACATCCATTGCCCTACAACATCAGCACCTGGACAAGTGAACTAACTACTTGCTTCTGAGTTCCCTTCCCACCTCAGTTCTTGGCAGGGGTGGTTCTGGTATGGCCCTTAGCACATATGGACCAGCAATTCCTTCCCTCACCCACTTAAGCAGGAAGCCAAGACCTGTATGAAGGGTCACGCACACACTGATCTAGAATACACTCACAAACTTTGGGTCATAGATCACTCCTGTGATTTCACACTCACTCACTCATACACATATCGCTCTTGTGATTTTGTACACACATACATACATACCTCCCCACAACCCAGATTAACTACAAGAGGCCCCCCTATTTTCAAAAGCACTTTGGGGAGGATAATTTTTTTGTAAATGTATCCTGCTTCCCAGGGGTGAAACAGAAAAATCGCAGCCCCATCAGGGCCCTGTAAAGGAAGGGGGCTGGCTCACATGTAGTAAGATGCCACTGCTTGCAGGCACCACAGGACAAATTCAAGGACTGAGGTCTAGGTTCTAGACTACATCACCCGGAGTGTCAGCATAAAGCTAGAATGAATACAAGGCAGCAAACCCACTCCCCAATGTCACCCCCCATGGGTCTCAGATGCTGCCAGGGAAAATCTGAAAGGCCCCTACCTCTCTTCTTTTTTCCTGAAATGCTTACACCTCAGAGGGATGACTGGAGAAGGGTCAGGAGTTTGCTGCTGCTGCTGCTGCCTATGCCCTACATTTCCTGGAAAACGAAACCACACTTCTTGAGGCTGACATCTCAGACTTCTACTCGCAACTTGTGTTCAATCTCCATGATTACTTCTAAGACAGTTCCTTTGCCCTTATAGGTCAGGGCAGTCCACAGTGGGGGTCAGCCAGGCCCCAGCACCTTCCATAAGAATCCTTTCCTTAACAGGAAGAAAGAGGGTTTTTAGTACACTTTAGAAAACCCATGTTCTCAGGCCTTTAGCCACCCAGTCTACTGAATCAATCTGCTAAAATCCTCTAAAACCAAGCTCCTGCTGGGACCTCAAGCACTCTTCAGGTTTGAGAGGGAGGAGGCTGGTTTATGTTTGTGGTCCCCAAAGTTGAGGGCCTGAGAAGGGCTGGCTCAATAATATGCCATCTTGTCCAAGCATACAATCACGTGCCACACACACATACACTGATCATTTTTTTTTGGATTAGATAAAAGTGGTAGTGTGGGTGAAAAGGAGCAAAGAATATTGTTTTAAGAATAAAACCTACATTATATTAGGCTTCTTCAGTTTTTTCTCCGCAGGCTACATCCACCCTAATCAAATTTTGTTGGGTAGGAATGGCCACCAAAAAGGAAGCCAAGATCTTGTTCTTTGGGACAAAAGATCAGATTCCTATCTCCTCTACCTGGATACGGTGCTAGAACTTGGGCTGGTAGAGCAGTTCCTACTACTCAACAGTTATGTGTTGTTGTTTTTGTTAAGTGCCATCCAGTCAGTTTTGACCCAGAGCGACCCTGTGTAGGGTTTCCAAGGAGTGGCTGGTGAGCTTGAACTGCCGACCTTGCAGTTCAAACAGGCTTTGCAATCCAGCGCAGTAACCCACAGCACCACATCAGGACCCATAACAGTCATGTGAGGGGACATCAAATTCCTTTGTTTGTTCAACAGATGTTGCCCAACACTGGACATTAGTTGGGTTGTTCTAAGAGAGCACAAAGAGAGAACCCATTTTGACATCCATGACTCCTGTTCAACACCTCTGTGTAGCTTCAGGAGTCAATGGCACTGAGGTAGCCACAAACTATCTCCAAGATCAACTGCCCAGAAAGAAGAAGAAAAAGGGCTTTACGGACCACTCCCACCCAAGTTTCCTCCAAAAGGCACTTGAGCTGACCCCTTCAGGTACTCGTTTGTCATGAGCCATTATAATACCCATGGGCACAACTCTTGCTCAACCCGAGGAAATAAGAAGTACTTATCTATTCTTCTTAGATCCAGTTCTTGTCTGTTTCTCTCATTATTCTTCCTTTTGTCCCCACACAGTGTATAAGGAAGCCAAAGTAAGCTCAGCTGCCATCCCTGATCCTATTCTTCCTCAAATAGGAGACAGGTGCAGGGCTGTGGAATACTGAGGATCAACTGCAACTAAAAACTCAATTTTTGGGGAGGGCTGGGCCAGCCATTGTCCCTGCTTTGTACCAGCAATCTATGCCTACAGATTACCTGTATCCACAGTTTACCTGCTGAAATTGCTTTTGGATACACAAAAACAAGAACAAAACAAACAAACAATTAACCCCTTTCCCAATCTTTTCCTTTTCAGCTGCCAGCTGGAGTCCAAGGTTGTGGGAGTCACACTTCAGTCTTGGTCCTGTACCTTGAGTCCCCCTTTTATGGACCTCAGCCAAGGGTCCAAGGACTAGTTCCCTAACCCCGGAGTGCTGGAGAACTTCCCCAAGATACTCATAGTCTCAGGTTATTTACAGAACTGAGGCTTTGGGGCTGCTGTCCCCTGGTACACTCTTCTGGTCTCTTGGGTCCACTTTTCCTGCAGGGGGGCAGGTACAGATGGGATGGTGGTGGGACCATCGACCAGAGGGGCTGTACTCTTCAGTAGATTCTTCTGATCACTCCCACCACCTGGGGCCCCTTGCACCTATAGAGAAAACTGCCCGTCGGAAGTCTTCGACTGGCACCCTTGGCACATCCGTTTGTGTCTGAGTAATCGATCTGTCCGAGAAAAACACTGAGAAGAGAGGGAGGGGTAAGTACCCCACAAGAGAAATTTAGCCATCTGTTGGCACACATCACACTCATTTCCTCAGTTATGTACACAGATGACACGAGCACACAGTGGTTAGGAATGCAAGCTCTGGAACCAAAGAGTACTCCTAACTCCAGACTTACTTACTACTACCTATGTGGCCTTGGAAAAGTTAGCTAACAGCCCTGAACTGGTACACTCATCTGTAAGACAGGGCTAGAAGGAGCTACTCACAGCATGGCTTCTTTAGTCATTGAAAATTTACTGAGTATCTTATCTTGAGGCAGGCCCAGTTCTTGGTGCTGAGGATACAGAGGAGAATCAGCAGGACAAAGTCTCTGCCGTCAAGGAACTTTCTAGTGATTTGAATATTTGAAAGTGTGACAAAGTGGAGCAATGCTTGAGACCTACCTAGCAAAGCATCCTGGAAGTGTTAACTATTATCATTCCATCTCTTGTCCTTGTCTAATTTTGGTCCTGGCTTTTCCATTTTCATTACATTAGACACTGCCCCCCAGGGCAGAGATTCTATCTCTGCCTCCAAAGTGCAGTGCTGAGTTGGATTGAAACCTGGCTCTGGACCTTATCTGCTGTGTCTTTGTGAAAGGGAACCTCTGTGAATCTCAATTTCCCCATATATGGAATGAGGACAATGACAACTACCTTATAGTTGCTGTGAAGATGAAATGAAAAACTCTATGTAAAATAGTTCAACAGTGTCTGGCACAGGGTAGGGGGTTAAGTCTCAGAAACCCTATACATGGGTTGTGAGTCGGAACCAACTCCACAATACTTAACAACATCAACTATTATTATGATTATTCTAATGGCCCCAACCAGGGATCAGCTGCATAAGGATGGCAAGCTGCACCTAACTCTGAGGTGCAACCTGTATCAGGATAAGGAAGTCCCCATCAAGGCACAGAGTGGGAGCTGCTGTGTGGAGGTGCGGTGATGCTGAGGAAACCTTACCTGATGACATCGTTCACACTGGTAGGGCTTTTCACCACTGTGCACACGCTTGTGGCGCTCCAGGTGGTACTTCTGGATGAAGCGCATATCACATATGTCACACTCAAATGGCTTTTCACCTGGTCCAGGTAGAGAGAGAAGTGAGTATCAGGAGGCATATAAGGTAGGGAACTCATTTCTAGTATTTCCCCAGACACTTGAATTCTTAGCAATATGTAGACACCTGAGGAGTCCTGGTGTGGTGCTACAGAATAATCACTGGAGTGCTAACCAAAAGGTCAGCGATTCAAACCCATCCACCACTTGGAAACTCTAGACCAGATCGCTATGAATCAGAATTGACTCGATGGCACTTAACAAAGCTATAATAAATGGGGAAGGGACCTCAAAGATGCTGGTCCCAGTAGCACCAGACACAGAGCTATGCAATCTCTTTGCCTTATTCACGTATCTTTATCCTCCATTTTGAATATGTACCCTTTAAAATAAATCCAACTAGGGCTCTATACACACACATTCAACACAATGTTCTCCCCCTCTGAAATAGACAAGACTTACCAGTGTGAATGAGGATGTGCCTCTTGAGGTGGTAACTGCTCCTAAAGGCTCCAAGGCAGTGTTCACAAATAAAATTTTTGGGACTCTTTACTTGAAAAGAACCATTTTGTTCCACCACCACCACCTGGGGGAAACAACCAAGCATGTCATGAGGCTATTCCTCTGGGTTTTTTCTCCTGAAGACCAATCTACTCTGTGTCCTCTGTAAGCTGCTGGACAAAGGAACCCGTCTGTGACTTGCTCTGCTTTTCTATTTTGATTGAAGATGCTGTCATCTCCCATAGTGATTTACATTAAGGGACACTCTTCTGGAGGTGTGGTGGGTAAGCTGCCTTATCACACCCAACTCTCTGATGACCTTAAAGGGAGTCTGCCATGACCTCTGCTAAAGGATCCCATGCCTATCCCCTTCTTTCCCTTCAGAGTGGGAAGATCAACCACCCTGGTAGTTTCTGGATGAAATCAGGGTGATACACTTACTGGCTGTGAAGGACCAAATTGTTTAGAGAAAGTTCCAAGTTGAGTCACAGGGGGAAGAGGAGTATTACCCCATAACCCAACTGCACAAGTTGGGGATTACCCCATTACCTGCCTTTTTAACAGTCTTTTTTGAATGAGAGGCCTCAGCCAAGCTGTCATCATCTTTGCGGCTCCGGGACTTATCGCTGTTTTTTCGGTGGCCCTTTGAATACAAATCAAATCTAAACTCATAGTCCATCTCAGAATACAAGACAGGAAACCAGATGCTGCTTTCAGGCATACAATTATAAATGAGAGTAAACCACCTGCCCTAAGCTCTTAGAGAGAGTGCCCAATCATCTCCTCTCTATAAACCCTAATCTTAAGGCATGTAGGTTGAGAAAAGATCTTCATTAGCACTCTGAAGTAGTCACATTCATTTATTTCCCAGCTGGATCCCCCTTTCCCACGTCCCTATGTTGAAGCACTGCAGAATCAAAGCTTGGCATCTCCTGGCAAAGAACTTGGGCCACCCGACCCCCAGGCGCCACAATGGACTCAAGCGCTGTACCTGACTCGAGCACCTCAGCACATCAGGGCTACCTGCCCGCTCGCCATTCTCGGCCTGCTTGCTGGCAATCTGGCTCAGCATCATCTTCTTGCTGGCTGCAGTGGGAATCAAACTCACACCTGCTAGGCCTTCACAAGCCAGAAGACTTGCCTAAGTTGAAAGGAGATAAGTTGTCAGGTCACCTGGCAGGACAGGGCAAAAGAGGCTGCCATCCTATAGAATCACCTTTCACAACACCGAGCTCCAAACAAACGGCTTCTCGCCAAAAAGTTTCACTCTTCCAAATCCTGCTTCTTTCAAGAATTCTCATGAACTTATCTCACGAGGAACTAACGACTTCTTATGAAGTCCCTCATCATTTAAATACACATCAAGTGAATAATAAAGTATAGTTGACTCTTGAACAACAACAGCAACTAGAGGTGCCTATCCCCAGGGCAGTCGAAAATTCATGTATAACTTTTGACTCCCTCAAAAATTAACTACTCAGAGCCTGCTGTTGACCAGAAGCCTTACTGATAAGCTAAATAGTAGATTAACACATATCTTTAAAATTATTTGGATTATATATGCTGCACCCACAAAAAAGCTGCATTTTCAATCTGAGATAAAAACGTATTTCGCAAAAAGTGCAAGCTTTAGCAGTAACACACACACACAAAAAAACAACACACAGAAAAATGACAGCAATCAATTCTGACCTAACTGAATGTGAATGGATTAAACGCACCAGTCAAGAGACAGAATGGATAGGAAACAGGATCCTTCAATACGTTGTTTTCAAAAGACAATTCACAAAGATGAAGACAGCCTAAATGCCCATCAACAGAAGAATAGTTGAGCAAACTTTGGTACATACATACAATGGAATACTATGCCAACGTTGAAAAATAAAGATGAATTTGTCAAACACTTCATGACATAGTTGAACCTGAAGGACATCATGCTCAGTGAAATGAATCAATCACAAATGACAAACACTATATGAGACCAATGTTGTAAAAGGTTAAAAAAAGAAAAAACAAGGTTTTCTTGATATAAAAAACAAAACAACAACAAGAAACAATCTATGATGGTTATGGGGGGATTATTCAAGGGCTAGAGAGTAGCCATATGTTAATATGGGTGACATGACAGGCAATATACAACAAGAGGGAAAAGAGGGAGGTTAGCAGAGAAAAGATGAAGATAGTGGGAAACACAGGGAGGTGTGCAATAGTTAAATGAATAGAGGTAAATGTTGTTGAATGTTGGTACATGGAGGGGATTGCAACCAGGTAGTGAAGTGAAGTGTATGGTTTGTTGAATGTAAAACTGATAACGTTCCTGGCTCCTGCTCTGTAAACTTTCACCCAATTAACAATAAAAAGTTAAAAAAAAAAAAAGGTGCAAGATTTTTGCACCTCCTGTTGTAGTTGCAGTGATGGCTTCACAAAATTTTTTTTTACAGTGGTCCTTATACTGGTCTCACTTATTTTTAAGTGACAGGCAACCACAGCTACAGACCTCAATCTATGGTAGCTATCAAGCAATTCAACTTTTTCTTATAATGTCACAACTTTTCTCTGCTTCTTGGGAGCACTTCCAGCATCACCAGTGGCACTTCATATGGGTTCCATGGTGTTTGTTATTCAAGAATTAAGGTACTGCACTAAATTGCATACTGCAATATGCAATTTAATGGAGGCAAACTGCTCACTTGGAGAGAATTATCATCAGTTTTTTAAAAATTTGCATATAAATGGACTCATATAGTTCACATATGTGTTTTTCAAAGACTAACTGTATTATTGATGTGTCTATGTCATTGGTACTGTGCTAAAGTACAGTGTGTACGTATTATGTTTTACTTTGGAGATAGTTCTAGGCCTTAACAGAGTGGTCACTGAGGGTCTGTCTTATTGCTGACCCACTGAAATGGTAGATTCCTAGGATCCCATCCTTTTTCCCTTACCAAAGTACTCAACTTCAGAGCCCATTTCTGGTTGGCAAGCCTCACCAGTGCCAACTATATTGGGACGGGGAGGAGGGAAGGCTTCAAAAAGTTTGTGGAAAAATGAAATAGAAAGATAATGAATTTTTTTCCACAAACTTTTTGAGCCCCCTTGCATATTCTATGATCTCTCACCAATATGTCCAGTATTGTTGTTGTTAAGTGCCATCGAGTCAGTTCCAACCCATAGCAACCCTGTAGAGGGTTTCCAAGGAGCAGCTGGTAAGCTTGATCCACCAATCCTGCAGTTCAAATGGCTTTGCAGTCTGGTGCATTAACCCACAGCGCCACACCAAGTCTCATTTGCTAGTAAATGTAGGTCATTTTTCTCTTTACAATTCCCTAAGTGTTGTCAATTGCAAAGAATACATAACTTAAACCACTTGAAAAGATTTTGGAGTTGATTATGTAATTTCTCTTGACTTCCCTAGGCATTTACATATGTGTATGGTGTGGTGCTGTGGCTTAATGCACCAGACTGCAAAGCCATTTGAACTGCAAGGTCAGCGGTTCAAGCTCACCTGTCACTGCTCAGAATATACAGGGTCACTATGGGTCAGAAATGACTCGACGACATTAAAAACAATGTTATATCCACATTTCTTCAGTTTATGTGTTAAAATCACTACTAAAACAAGGAATGTTTAAGTAAATTTTCACTTTTCATCACTACAGTTTTCAAACTAATCTTGCTTAGCTAGGTTTAGAGATCATACTTTTCTTACTGAAACAAACTTTTAAGGTAACACTTGATCAGCAAAGTCCTAATAGTGACTTATAGAAAAATTCCTTTTCGTATTATCAGTATAACCTGGGACAAGGGTCTTCTCCCTGCTTCAGGGATTTCAGAGTGTTAAAAATTTTAGCTCTGCCCTTTGCAAACAGTGTTAATGCTGGGCATGTTACTCAACCTCTTTAAGCCTTAAATGCAAAATGCCTACTGTAGCATAGCCTCATAGGATCGAAAAGAATTAAATGAAGATGTAAAATGCGTAGCAATGCCTAGCACTAAGCTAGTGATTAGTAAAAGGCAGCCTTCTCAGAACAAGAGCTGCTATGAAGTGTGTTTCAAACAAAGGAAGAAGAAAGCGAAGAGCTCCTGCTCTGCATGGAAAGGAGGAAGCTGTGCATGCAGAGGCAGCTGGAAGAAAGCCAATTATACCATAATCAGCTTGCCATCCTGGTGAGACTAGTAGGGGAGGTTCCCTGAAGAGAGCTGAGAGCAGCTTTGGGGATGCATACACACATATAAACTATAATAGCTTATCTGGTCTTTTTGCTTCTCCAATCCAACTTCCAACCCCACAACGACAATTACCTTCTAAATACACTGATGTGCTATTTAACATTCTCCAACGTCCCCAGTCCCTAAAGAATAAAGTCTAATTCCTTAACAAGAAATAAACGGCCTTGAGTTAGTCTCGTGTTCCCTTCTCTAGAGACAACTCTCTCCTCTACTACTATCTGCATGTAAATCCTCTGCTCCACAAATAGCAAACCATTGACAGTTGCCCCAGCTGCATCATGTTCTCTCATGCCTCGAAGCCCCTGCCCATGCAGTCAATTCCCTTTTCTGCTTGCTTGTCTATGCATCCTTCAAGCCTCACTTTTGTCCGCTCAAACAGATGTAATCATTCCCTCCTTAAAAGTGTACATACCTCCATTATTAACCATTCCTACCTCTATTATTAACCATTCCTTCAGTCAACAGAGATTAACTGAGTCTTTACCACTAGCCAGCCACTATGCAAGGTGTTGTGAATATAAAGAAAAACAAACATACTGTCTCTCTATCTCCCATCCCTGCCAACTAGACTGGAAGCTTGCTGGGGCAGGGACAATGTCTTAATTTAATTAATTTTTATATCCCTAACATGATGTTTTACAAATAACAGCTCAATAAAATCCTGCTAATAAACAAACAGAGCATTCACCAGACTTTCTTCAAGCCTCTTAGCACTTAATGTACCAAGTATAAACCGAGTACATGTTGCTTTGCAAATGTCCCATCAGTGCCTGTGATACAATATAGCCTACCTCCTTCATTAGAGACTGGAAGCTCCCTGAAGGCAGGGGCTGTGTGTGGCCTGTCTCCTTTCTTTCCTCTAGATCTCCCCCTGGCGCTTAATACAGAGCTTGGTTCACTGGGGTTGGTCAATACGTTGACTAAGGCAGCATTCAACAGTGAAACTGCTAACATGCTTCCCAGTGATCTTGAAGTAGGATGATGCTAGAGCTTTTTACCTGAGCCATGCTGATTTCTCACTTAATGCAACCCCAAAGTTCAGGAGTTTCTTGATCCACTTTTCCTTAAGACACTGTTGTTTGGAGAACTGTCACCCAATCACTGTAACAACTCCTTTGTGTCCTTTCAGTCCTGCTGCCATATTGAACTGCCTTTGCTTTCAAATAGACCTTTTTAAGTGTCCTCCAAATGAAAGATAGATGTTCGAAGAATTCCTGGACTCTGCTTGGCTCCTTGTCTATTGTCTGAGGAAAAAGAGTCTTCCAGTTTTGGTTTTCCAGCTGAATTCTCTCATTGAGGCTCACAATGTGTTTCAGAAACCTAAAACCAGAAAGGGAGATGAGGCCATTAAGAGCAGATGTAACCTGGGGGTGGGTGGAGGAGGCTGAATTTTTTTGCAGGATGGCTTCTGAAGCTCAGAAAGTGATCATGAGTCAAGGAGTGTTTGTTTCTTTTCCTACGTCAGTAGCTGCGTGGTTCTTTAAGATAAGCGCTGGACTGCTAAACACAAGGTTGGCAGTTCACGCCCACTAGTCACCTTGTGGGAGAAAGAGGCTTTCTGTTCCCGTTATGACATAGCCTTGAAAACCCTATATAGGGTCGCTATGAGTCAGAATCGTATTAACTGGACAGTGCGTATTAACAAGTCCGTAGAAGAAACAGGTCTCTAGGACAAGGAGGAGCGGCCAAGAAGAGCAAACGTAACTGGAACGTCTTATGAAGGAACACTGCCATGGAGCAAGCCCTTGGATTTGCTGAGTTAAGCATGGAAGAAGGGGGCGGAGGCCCTGTGAAGCTTTTGTGCCAAGTGGGCTGGCCCTGGAAACTAGCACTCTATATAGGAGGCCGGGAGAACTCAGGAGCAGAAAACTTGGGGGCCATCAACGGGAGCCTGGGTGGCATGCAGAAACTGAACTGACAGTGTGTGCCCCGGCTGGCTCACACGTGCGCGTCCTCTAAGTCTGCCTGAAGGCACAGAAACACCCTGCGGAGGTGGAGGGCAGGGAAGCGAAGCTCGGAGCAGCGCGTTCCTTCCCTACTGGAAACTAGGAGCTGAGCCTGCGACACCAACCCGGAGAAGCGTCGAGGAGCGCGAGGTGCGTGCTCGCGCCCGCGCTCCCTCAGTCAAGCCCCCTCTCCTGGGCCAGAGACGCGGGCGGACGCACAGGCTAGAGGCGGTGCGCGCGCGAGCGCGGTTCCTTCCCTTCCTTTGGCGAGCCCCCTCCCTTCGCCACGCGCCCCTCCTCTCTTCCCCTCCCCCTTTCCGCGCGGCTCCCCGCGGCCTGCGAAGTACTGAAGCGCTGCCGTCTGCCCGAACGACACAGCTCCTTGGGGCGTGCTCCTACCTGCCAGGTGCAGCCTCCCACTGTTTCCACCGCCACGCAGCGCCTCCTCCAGGCCCCAGCACACCGTGCCAACCCCGCGGCCGCCGCTGCCCCCGCCGGGACGAGGCAAGTTTACAAACACCAACCCGGGGCCCGTTTCCCCGGAAGCACTTCCCCCTCCCCCTCGTCCTCTCCGCTGAGCAGCAAAATCCACTTCCGGGCTCGGGAGTCTGGGCGGGCGGGGGCAGCTTGAAAGGGGGTGAGCCTGGGGACGCAGGGAGGGGTGGGTGTAGCTGGTGAATGGGCGGCGCCGGCGCGGGGGAAGGACGGCAGGTGGGTGGGCCGGTGGGACGGCGCGTGCGCTTCGACGAGGGTGAGCCCCAGCGGCCATCTTTACTGAGGGCAGGAACGAGGGTCTTGAAATAACCATGTACAGTTTCAGAGGGATTGTTGGGTGAGTTGGTTAAAACTTGAAAAGCAACTTCACGCGCCCTACGTCATGAACGTTATTCTGCTTGCTTTTTAACTTGTATTCCAAGTAGGGCCAGCGTAGTTTGCACCCTGCCTTTTCACGGAACTTTGCCAAGGTTGTGTTCTCCCTCAGGCTTTCCATCAGGCCCACGTCTACAGGTTCTGGGGTCGCCTTGCTCTGAATACTCAACTACTAGTCTTTCCCTGGAGTCCTGGTGTGACGCTGAGAGATAATGCGCGGGACTGCAGGGATGGTTTGAACCACAAAATGCGAGTTTCAAGCTAACCAGCTGCTTCTTGGAAACCCTATACAGGGTCACTATGAGTCAGAACCTACTCTGACAGCCCTTAACACCAACAGTCTTTTCCTAGGTAGCCTGAAGCTGCACTGCTTACATTTTTGCAGTTGTTTGTGCACCCCAGGCCTTTCCAGTTATCGTTCCACCACTCCTTTCTTTTTCCCAGCGTCTAACACTGGCTCTTTGCTAGGAAAAGGCCAAAGTTTGTCCCCCCCCCTCAACCCCCTCCCCGGACTTTATTAGGAAAATGGAAACTGGAGCCTTTCTTCAAATTCTATCCCCCTTTTTAGCCATTAGGGAGGTGTCCTGGTAAAGATGGATTTATGCAAACTGCACTTGATGGCAGAAGAGTAGACTCCATTCAAGTCTCTCTGCTGTGGGAGAAAAAACGGTGATACCAAAAACTGAAGTCATGGATTTCCAACCATTAGAAAAAAAGTTTATATAGCAAATTAGTTCCCATTTAATTATTTCTACACAACTAGTTCCATGATATTATTTACGCTTTTCATCATGTATTAAGATTTTCATTATTTCCAATTTTTCTGTTGTTCCATGTCCATTAATCTAGCTTCCCTGTCCAGCCTTAGCTTTTCATCTCTGTTTTAGGGTAAATGTCCATTTGGTCTTATAACTTGGTTATTTAAGGAAGCACAGTATACATGGGTGATATTATTTCTTTTATAAACCAATTGTTTATTTTATAATTTGATATATTATATGAAGAAAGGTGACCACCAGCACTGTCTTTAGTTCCAAGTTCAAAGGGTGCTTTAGGGTACTTGTCGCTGGAGTTCCTCTAGTCTCTATTAACACACTAGTTTGTTGTTGTTGTTAAGTGCCATCGAGTTGATTCCGACCCATAGTGATCCTGTATAGGGTTTCTGAAGAGTGGCTGGTGAGCTTGAACCGTCTAAGTCTGGCTTTTTAGTTTTTTGGGTTTTTTTTGAGGAATTTTGAGTTTCGTTCTACTCCCAACTATTTTTTGTACGTAGACTATTTCTTTCAACATCTCACATTTTGCATCATTGAAACAAGTTCCTTGTGCCATCAAGTCAGGTCCAGTTCATAGTGACCCTGTATATAATTTCTGAGGAGTGGCTGGTGGATTTGAAATGCAGACCTTGTGGTTAGTTGTTGTTGTTAGTGCCATTGAGTCGATTCTGACCCATATATAGGGGTTTCCAAGGAGCAGCTGATGAGCGTGAACCACTGACCTTGCAGTTCAAATGGCTTTGCAGTCTGGTGTGTTAACCCACAGTGCCATACCAGTCCTCTTGTGGTTAGTAGTCCAATGTTTATCCTACAGCACCACACTAGAATGTCTATAAAAATATGTTGTTGTTGTTAAGTGCTGTCTAGTTGGTTCCAACTCATTGTGATCCTGTATAGGGTTTCTGAGAAGTGGCTGGTGAGTTTGAACTGCCAACTTTGCAGTTCAAACCAACCTTGCAGTCAGGTGCTTATCCTACAAATGAGTATAAATTAGAAATTTAATCCCACCCACTGCCATAGAGATGTATATTTGTGCCCATTCCAAAAATAGGTTCCCCATCAGAATGCAGAAATCATCGAAAATACTGTTAATATCACATGCAAATAAAATTGTGTTGAAGATAAAACAGTTGCAACAGTACATTGACAGGGAACTGCCAGAAATTCAAGCTGGATTCAAAAGAGTGCATGAAATGAGAGATATCATTGCTGGTGTTAGGTAAATCTTGACAGAAAGCAGAGAATACCAGAAAGATGTTTACTTGTACTTTATTGACTATGCAAAGACTTTCGAGTATGTGGATCATGACAAACTATGGATAACATTGTGAAGAATGGGAATTCCAGAATACTTAATTGTTCTCATGAGGAACCTGTACATAGACCAAGAGGCAATTATTTGAACAGAACAAGGGAATACTGAATGGCTTAAAATTGAGAAAGGTGTGTGCCAGGGCTGTATCCTTTAACCATATTTATTCAATCTGTATGCTGAGTAAGTAATTGGAGAGAGAAGCTGAGTTATATGAAGAATGTGGCATCAGGATTGAGAAAGACTCATTAACAACCTTTGATATGCAGATGATACAATGTTGCTTGCCAGAAGCCAAGAAATCTTACAGTATATACTGATGAAGATCAAAGACTACAGTAGAAGATACAGTCTACAGTATGAATTACACCTCAGTGTAAAGAAAACAAAAATCCTCACAACTGATAAATGGAGACTAGATTGATAAATGGAGACTAGATTGAAGTTGTCAAAGAATTCATTTTGCTTGGATCCACAGTCAATACTCAAGGAAGCAGCAGTCAAAAAAGTAGATGACGTATTATTGCATTAGGCAGATCTGCTGCACAAGACCTCTTTAAAGTGTTAAAGAGCAGCAAACACAGCTATAAATGTGGTGGAGCATACAACAGGCAAAATGAGGAAAACTTCTTAGATATTATCAAACATCTTAAGGCAATGAGTTGGTGGTGGGCCTGGGGATTTAGGACCATAGTCTCCGAGATCACCATGATCAATTGGCATAACACCGTCCACAGAAAGATGCTCACCTGTGCTTTATTGACTATGCAAAGGCTTTCGATTGTGTGGATTATGGGCAGCATTGGGTAGTATGAGCATTCTGGAACACTTAATTGTGCTCTTGAGGAACCTGTACATAGACCAAGAAGCAGTTGTTCAAATAGAACAAGGGAACACTGAATGGTTTAAATTTAGGAAAGGTATGCTTTAGGGTTATATTCTTTAACCATACTTATTCAGTTTGTATGCTGAGCCAATAATCCGAGAAGCTGGATTATGTGAAAAAGAATGTGGCATCATGATTGGAGAAAGACTCATTAACAACCTGTGATATGCAGATGTGATACAACCTTGCTTGCTGAAAGTGAAGAGGGACTTCAAATACTTAACAGATAAATAGCAAAGACCACAGCTTTCTGTATGAGTTGTGCCTCAATGTAAAGAAAATAAAAATCCTTATCACTGGACCAATAAATAACATCAAGATAAATGGAGGAAAGATTGAAGTTGTCAAAGACTTCATTTTGCTCAGATCAATCATCAACACTTATGGAAGCAGCAGTCAAGAAATCAAATGACGTATTGCATTAGGCAAGTCTGCTGCACAAGATCTCTTTGAAGTGTTCAAGAGTAAAGTGTTAGTTTGAGGACTAAGGTGTACCTGACTCAAGCTATGTGAAAGTTGGGCAGTGAATAAGAAAGACTAGAAGAATTTATACATTTGAGTTACAGTGTTGGAGGAGAATATTAAAAGTATACTATGGACTGCCAAAAGAACAAACTTCTATGTTGGAAGAAGTACAGCTAGAGTGCTCCTTGAAGCCAGCATGGCTAGAATTTGTCTCTCATATTTTTGTACATATTATCAGGACGGGCCAGTCCTGGAGAAGGGCATCATGTTTGGTAAAGTGGAGGGTCAGGGAAAAAGAGAAAGATCCCCAATGAGATGGATTGGCTCAGTGACAGCAGCAATGGGCTCAAGTGTAGTAAAGACTGTGAGGTTGGCACAGGATTGGGCAGTGTTTTGTTGTGCTTAGTGTCGCTATGAGTTGGTACCAAATTGATGGCACCTAACAACAACAAGGAGCTCTGGTAGCGTAGTGGTTACGAATTGGGCTGCTAACCTCAAGGTCAGCAGTTCGAAACTACCAGCTGTTCCACAGGAGAAAGATGAGGCTTTCTGCTCCCGTAAAGGTTTACAGCCTCGGAAACCCTGTACAGGGTCACTATGAGTCGGAACCGACTCCATGGTACTTAACAACAACAGCAGTCTACAAAGACAATGTTCTGTATCCTACTTTGATGAGTAGTCTCTAGGATCTTAAAAGCACTTAATGTCCACCTAAGGTACAGCTATTGGTCTCTCTATGTGCAGAAAAAAGAAAGAATTGAAGAGGCTTGGAATCAATTAGTCCAATGGACTAATGGAAAAATCAATGGACTAATGGAAAAATTAAACATCAGTCCTCTCATCTCTGAGACCAGAAGAACTAGACAGTGCCTGGTTACCACTACCATGTAATCTACTCTGAAAGGGTTCACATTAGAGGATCCTGGATAGAACGGGTGAAAATGTGGAACAAAATTCAAAATTATTTAAAAAAAACAAAACAAAAATAAAAACTGGACTTACTGGTCAGGAAGAGACTGGAGGAACCTGAGACTTTTGCCTTTGACCACCCTTCAGGTCTGGAAAGGAACTCATGTTTTGTGGCCCAATTTTCAGCCAAACAGTAAATAGATATATATGGGGGGACAGCAACAATAGGAAGGTAGTATGCGAGACAGCAGGATAACTCTTATTACATGGAGGAGATTCCAACCATTGGCATGAAACAAGGTATATAATTTGTTGAATGTAA